ACAAAAAGATATTCTGAGTAGTGAGTAGTTGGATTAGTCTGAACTATTGAGAGATCATTTGTCGCCTTTACCCTAAAATAAACAAAAACATAATCTTAACACTTACTTCAATTAAACCTTTAGTTTTGTATCCATACCCTAACACAGCCGTCTCTCATTTTCTTCTCATTCTTCATCACCGATCACTCATCATCGACCACCGTGGCTCTGTTCTCACACCGTTCCAAAAGCGAAGATAGAAATGAGCTCAGAAACTGGGGTTAGACTTCCAGTTATAGATTTCTCAAAGCAAGAGCTGAAGCCAGGCAGCCCTGAATGGGATTTGGCGAAACTCCACGTCCGAGAAGCACTAGAGGAGTACGGCGGTTTCGAGGCGTTGTTCGACAAAGTCGTTGAGGTTCGAGAGGTAGTGTTCGGAGCCACGGAAGAGCTCTTTCACCTTCCTTTACCAACGAAACAGCTTTTCATTTCCGACAAAACCCTTTTTATGGACGCTAGGGCAAAACATCGCGTGAAGGCATGATGATCGATGAGGCACATGTTGCTGGAAACATCGATCAAGGTCTCACGTACCAACATCTTGTGACCTCAAGGAAACATAAGCTTCAGGTTTCCAATAATAACTCTTTCATTTACGTTTCGATTTTGCTGAATATATTTTCTGATTTCCTTTCGACAGCAAAACTATTGAATCTCTTACACAGTTAGCAGCAGGATTAGAGAAGACGGTTAGGAGGACGGTTTTGGAGAGTTTTGGCATCGTGAAATATCAAATACATGGATGAACTCATCGACGACTCAAATTATACACAGGCTCGTATTTGAGCATGGGCAAAAGGGGCACTTGCCCAGGCCTCTCTTACTCGGGTCCAATATTGTGAAATTTATACATATTATTTGTTCACCCATCTATTATTTTTTTGTTTTGATTATTTATTTTTTTAATTATACTCAACATTACATTTTAATTTTGTTGGTTATTTGTAAATTATTTTTCGTTTTTAATTAAAATTATATTTATATATATATATATATATATATATATATATTGCTATTAGTGGTGCACTTTGAGTATATATATATATATATATTGATATTAGTGGTGCACTTTGAGCAACTGTTCATGCCTCTCATTTTGTATGGGGCTCTTAATTTTTTTATAATATTGTTTATTTTTATAATTTAACCCTTTAATTTTCTTTAATTTTAGTTTTTTATCCTTATAATTGAGGTCCCTAATTTTTGTAATCCTACTTTTTATCTTTATAATGGAGGCCTTTAATTTTTTTTCAATCCTAATTTTTTACATTTATAATTGATGATCCTAAGTTTTTCAATCCCATCTTGTACCTTTATATTTAAGCTCCTTTTTTTCAATATCACCTTTTACCTTTATAATTGAGACCCCTAATTTTTTTAATCTTACTTTTTACCTTTAAAATTGATACCCTATTTTTTTAATATCACTTTTTACCTTTATAATTGGGGTCCCTGATTTTTTCAATCATATTTTATACTTTTATAGTTTAAGCCCCTAATTTAATCATTTTTATACGATTTATTAACATAATATTAATTTAATTATTCAAAGTATTAGAATATACTTTTATTTTATAAGGGTCTATCTTTTAGTTTTGCTCAGGGTCCCGAAAATATCTGAGATAACTATGTATTTATTAGATAGTTTATTAAATGTACTAAAAAAATAATTTACAAACAAATTTGTTTATTTATTCTTGCTCTTACAATTTAATTTTTTTATGCTTATTATTGGTGGTCTAATTTTTATATTCATCCTGGGCTCCTAAAATCTCATAAACGGGTCTGATTATACCTGAGGGCCATTAAATATGTAAGGCCACAAACCAGCAACGAGCCCACCTTGGAGCAGATGCACATACTGACAAGGCTTGGATAAATCTTTTGTATCAAAACGAGGTGAACGGATTGGATATTCAAACCAAAGATGGCGAATGGATCAATATAAAGCCATCGCCCAACTCTTTCATAGTCATATTCGGCGAATCCCTTAACGTAAGTCATCATCATTGTCATCACAATTAAAGTTTAAGCTAGAGAGAACATATATAAGTTCTACTCTATTTTTTGTTGTTGGTATGGTTAAATGGTCGATTGTCTGCGCCTTACCATCGGGTCGTGACTAAAGGAAACGAGGCAAGATACTGCATCGCAGTTTCTGCAAAGCCGAGAGGAGGGTACCCTGTAAAGGTTCCTGAGGAGCTTGTGGATGACAAAAATGATTTGCTCTTCAAACCCTTTGACTACGATGAATATTTGGGATACAACGCTGCCCAGGCAGCTCGAGGAAATTTTATTGATGTTAAAGTTTACTGCAAAGTCTAAGATTTCAGATTCTAATGTAGTTATCTACTGTTATAAAATAAATAAAATAGCATAGCTAATCTGGTTGTTATTGGCTAACGGTGAGTTAGAGGTTCACATTAACTATATTATTTGTTTTGTAACGATATATGATTATATATATATATATATATATATATATATTGATAAATAAAAAATTTCATTAACAGAATGTAGTCAAATTACAACAGACTACCAGAAGGCAACTTCAATTAAGGAAGCCCCACTCAACACATAGCCTCATATTCACACTATCACCTTTATCTATGCCAGTATTACTTAGTGTGATATGAACTATATCCTTTATATGCTCAACTAAAACATCACCCGAATGAACAACATCCCTAAACTGTCTAAAATTACATTCTTTCCATATGCTATACAAAAAACTAGTCCAAGCAAGCTTTAAAATATGAATGATAAGCGACTTGCCCCTCCAATACTCGGTCGCCCAGCACACAGTCTGCTCCTAACTCATATATCTCGATTGAAAGCTGCAAGTCCTCATGATCCCCTGCCAAACCCTACAAGAATAAGGACACTTTGCAAACAAGTGATATCATGATTCCTTCTCTACCCCACACAAACCACAAATCTCATCTGAGACAATATCAAACTGCACGAGCCTATCCTTTGTAAGCAATCTGTCCAAACAGGCAATCCAAGCGATAATCGAGTGCTTAGAGATTGACTAGGAAACCAAAGAAGCTTGTGCCAACTCACTTTGCCTCTCCTATCACAGACCCTCTCCCACACCCATCTATTGGTAGCAGCCGACCAATCGACAATGCCATCAAACAAAGTCTCAGTCTCATCTCTCAACTTCATCAATTTCCTCATGACCCAACTGAAATGAGGCTTACAATCAGTAACTTTGAAATCAATCCCCTTTCAAATTAAATCACTTGAATAGTTATGTGATAATATTCTTAAAATTAAAATTATAGTGGTTATATCAACACTAATTACATAATTAATTTATTATTTGAGTAGTTTACCCATTTTATTATGGTATACAGACGTTACTTGGCGGAATCTTGTGTTATGTAGTCTATAATGTCTTGTCTGATTTATGATAATGAAATAAGTTGAAAAACTTGGTTTTTCATTACATTAGTACTTGTAAGAAGAATGATAGTCCTGTGAGGAAGCTACTGAAGCATAATCCAGCCAGTGGCAGATGTAGGAAGCTACTGAAGCATAATCCAGCCAGTGGCGGATCTATGTGTTATCCAGAGTGCACATGTGTCCACTTTAAAATTTATTTATTTTTATTAGTTGATCATTTTATTAATAGTGTCCATCCTAAAATTTTATTTATATCCGCTTCATACGAAAAATTTATGTTACTGATACATATGTGTCCACCCTAAAAAATGTTTCTAGATCCGCCTCTTAATCCAGTCATGATAAACACCGTTAAATCATTGTACTTACCAGATAATTACAAAATGTTAAGACCAGTAGTATTACCAGCTAGGACAAAAATAACACCGGAATAACTTGCAAATGCATTGAGTTATAAACTGATAATACAATTTACAAAGACTATAAAGCACAGAACAATTGTTCTTGAATGAAGCGGAATAGTGCAAAACACAATCACACACTGTACACAACTCAATGATACATTTCTTCAAATAGATAGTGAACATTGATCAGTTGCAAACAATTGTTCCTTGTAGATAAAATGTAAAGATCCGGAATGAATCTTTTAGATATCTCTAATCATTAATATTGGTAATCAATGTGTGAGTCAAGTTCTCAAAAAGTTGGAAATAGATAAATGAGTTCAGATTTGAGCTCAATGACACCTCAAAATCTTGATAATCAATGCATAATGGTTGATTTGCGATTTCGGGAATAACTAGTTGGCGTAGTGTTTTTTCAGCCATCTCTTCTTTGGCCGAAGATTGCTTCCATTATCTTGTTTCTTTTCTAAGTCGGCGTGTGATCCTCTCAATTTCAAGATCGTATTCAAATTTTCTTGCCCACGATGAACAAAGCATAAAAAGTAATAAAAAAAATTAACCTAATTGACACCAATCTCCATCAATAACGTCAAAATTTGACATGTTGTTGAGCAGATGAGAAACTTTTGATGACAGAGGAGAGTAATACATCTTTATCATATATAATGAAATAAGTAAGACTTACAGATTTTATAATTTTCTCACTAATAATGTGATAATTTCAAGAGATTTTGAGTTTTATGAAATAAAATATTGGAGATGAAGTAAAGACGAAAAGAAAATTAAAGGATTATTTTTTAACGATGATCAATAAAATGATTGACCATGACTTTGTAATGCAATTGAACAAGAGAATCAAAGTTCTGTTACTATAATTCCTACATCGTCACCTGGATTAGTGGTGGATCCAGAACTATTTTTTCGGGGTGAAGTGTTGTGAAAAAGAAATTGAAAATGACAAGTGAGAATGCTATAGATGAAAGTCGACCTGCATAAAATTAAATGAAGATGATGATTGAATAGTTGGCAAAGCAATAATGCAAATAAATAAATGATGGAAGTGGACAAGGGGAGAAAATGACCAAAAACTTTATTGCTAAATAAAGATTTAGATATCAAGGCCAATTTTCAAACCCTTCCATTATTCTTTGTTTGAAGATACAAATGAGCTCAGAAACTGAGGATAGACTTCCAGTTATAGATTTCTCAAAGCAAGAGCTGAAGCCAGGCAGCCCTGAATGGGGTTCCGTGGAAGTCCAAGTCCGAGAAGCACTTGAAGAGTATGGCGGTTTCGAGGTTTTGTTCGACAAAGTCGCAGAGATTCGAGAGGAGGTGTTCGGAGCCATGGAAGAGCTCTTTGACCTTCCTTCACCAACGAAACAGCTTTTCATTTCCAACAAACCCTTCCTTGGCTACCATGATGCTACGGCAAAACTACTGCGTGAAAGCATGATGATCGATGAAGCACATGTTGCTGGAAACATTGATCAAGGTCTCACCAAGATCTTGTGGCCTCAAGGAAACATAAGCTTAAGGTGATTTACGTTTCGATTCTGTTTCGATTTTGCTGAATACATTTTCTAATCTTCTCTGGACAGCAAAACTATTGAATCTTTTACACAGTTAGCAGCAGGATTAGAAAAGACGATTAGGAGGATGGTTTTGGAGAATTTTGGCATCGAGAAATACAAGGATGAACTCATCGACAACACAAATTATGACCTGAGGGACACTAAATATGGAAGGCCACAAACCGGAACCGAGCCTACCCTTGGAGCAGATGCGCATAATGACAAGGATTTCATGACTCTTTTGCATCAAAACGAGGTTAATGGGTTAGAGATTCGAACAAAAGATGGCGAGTGGATCAATATAAAGCCCTCGCCCAACTATTTCGTAGTCATAATCGGCGAGTCCCTTAGCGTATGGTTAAATGGTCGATTGTCCGCGCCTTACCATCGGGTAACGACGAAGGGGAACAAGGTAAGATACAGCATCGCAGTTTTCGCAAACCCGAGAGGAGTATACCCTGTAAAGGTTCCAGAAGAGCTTGTGGCTGACAAAAATGGCTTGCTCTTCAAAACCTTTGACTTCGAAGAATATTTGGGATATTACGCTGCCCAGGCAGCTCGAGGAGATTTTATTGATCTTAAAGTTTACTGCAATATCTAAGATTTTGGGCATCAATAAGCTTTATTTGGAATGGATGGTGTGTAGTATATATATATATATATATATATATATATATTATGGGGCGGAATCTTGTGTTATGTAGTCTATCATGTCTAGCTTAATTGTTGATAATAAGTTGGAAAACTTTGTTTTTCATTACATTAGTACCTGTAAGAAGAATGATAGTCCTGTGAGGAAGCTACTGAACCATCCAGCCGTGTTAAACACTGTTCAATCATTGTTCATCAGCAAAGCATTTTACTTACCAGATTATTACAAAATGTCAAGACCGGTAGGCTGGGACAAAAATAACGCCAGAATAACTTGCAAATGTATTGAGTTGCAAACTGATAATACAGTAGAGTAATTAAGAATAAAATAGAATTTGATTATGAGAGGTAAACCATAGAATTTAATTAATGATTCAATTACAGATTTAAAATTAGAATTATCTAAACTCTTTGAATTTGTTAGTTATAGTTACTCTAGACTCCCTCATAACCCACTATCTTCTTACTTTATTGTTAACCAAAGAGATACTCAAATGACTAATTCGTTTGTTAATTAGACAATCCCACATAGATGCTACTATGATTTAATTTATTCAACATCTTTATCAATTAAAGAGATCCATCTCTTAGTTAACCAACTCACATCAGTGCGGATTATTCAAACTAGATCTTATATTTTCATAACACGTTCCAATATTATTTTACAACTTGTATTAAACACATGCCCACTATCACAAATAAGAATATTTTAATTAACAATATATAGATCTAATAGATTGTAGAGTGGTCTGATCATGCAATTCACAAATCAATAATTAATAAATAAAATAAAAGATATAAACAAGTGTTTAAATTATATCTATTGTTTATTTCAAAAATTTCAAGTACTTTTTTTAAATAGGTATTTAATATTTCTTTCGTTACCATTTAAGATACTTAAAGTTTTATTTTATCATCATTTTAAAGTCATCAACGACCGTTAAAATAATTTGTCAACTAATGGTTGTTTGACACATTGTATTAAATTTTTATTAACTTTTCATAAAAATATTAAATTTATTATTTTAAAAATTATTTTTTTAATTTCTTAAAACCTCACAAATCCCTAAATCTCTTTAAAGATGAAAAAAAATCAGGCAATGCACGTGTATTCAAATGGTTCAATTTTAGTTCAGAAGGCTATACAGCCGACGATAGATAGATGATGGTCGGATGAAAAGACGATTTAACGTGCCAACGAACAACGATGAAAGAGAGATCAATGGATGAGAATTCAACCACATAAAAGAATCGATGGTGACTAATTCAACGGTAACCTATAACATTTAAAAATTTGGAACTAAAGATTTTGGAATTTTAAGTTTTTTAAGGAAGCTTTTAAAAAATTAAGGATTCTAATTTTTTAAAAATCAATACTAAAGAATAGAATACATGTAAAACACTAAAGGTAAATTATGCGTTTACTACATAAACTATTAGTTTTGATCCGTTTTAGTACATAAACTTTCATTTCTTTTCAAAACTTAAGTATGATTTAGATACTAAACGTGTTTTATTACCTGAACTTTAAGTTTTTCAAAACTTAAGTTTTGGTATTAAAAATGGAACAAAAACTAAAATTTATGTATGCTTTTAAAAAAAATGAAAGTTTAAATATAAAAACGGATCAAAATTGATAATTTATATACTAAATTAGTAGTTTACCCAAACACTAAATGAATAACAAATTTTTTAACAACATGATCAAACACCTTAAATAATAATTTTAAAAACATAAAGATCTATTTGGAAGAAACAAACATTAACATCTGAAATAGATAAAAATATAATTTAAACACCTAATTTTCAATTAAACCTTTAGTTTTGTATCCATACCCTAACACAGCCGCCTCTCATTTTCTTCTCATTGTTCATCACCATCGTAATGATCGATTGTCTGCGCCTTACCATCGTGTCTTGACAAAAGGAAACAAGGTAAGATACAGCATCGCAGTTTTCGCAAACCCGAGAGGAGGCTACCCTGTAAAGGTTCCAGAAGAACTTGTGGATGAAAAAAATGACTTGCTCTTCAAACCCTTCGACTAGGACGAATATCTGCAACATTACGCTTCCCAGGTAGCTCGAGGTGTTTTTATTTAACTTAAATGTTACTGCAATGTCTAAGATTTTGGGCATCAATAAGCTTTATATATAACGGATGGTGTGTAGTCTTTTCTTGGCAGAATATTGTGTTATGTAGTCTATGATGAAATATTATAGATATGTAATATTTTTATCGATTCAATGTACTGATACTTAGATTTGGAGTCATTGACATGTTTGTAGTGCTTCTAGTGTTCTCCCCTTGGTCTCCAGAACTAGTTTTCCAATAAAGATAATTCCGACATCACCGATGAAGGCAAAGATGAAGAATGTTCCTGAAAGGAAAAAAACATTTAAAATCCCAGAAAATCTCAAGAAAACAGCATAGAAAAAATAAAAATAGGACTCAAGGAATATCACCAGCTGAGTTCCATTTAAAGAGAAAAGTGAAAGTGTATGAAACAACCCAATAACTTGCCCAGTTTAGCAAATTCACCAGACTTTCTCCTGAACCCTTTATGTTCATAGGAAATATCTGAAGTACAATCACATAATATAGGAGTGTATGTATGTGTGCATATATATATATATATCGGATGAATTGAAATTGAGAAATTTACCTCAGAAACTATGATCCAGGGAATTCCCCCCATGCCCAGATCAAAACTAAGCAGGAAAACCTGGTTTTCAGGTTTCACAGGGATGGAAGATAAATGATCAAATATCCTGCTAAGTGAAGGAACCTAAACTGTAAACTTGAAGATTGTATGTTAATATATAGTAGCTTTATCAATACTACAAAATTCACCAATGTGGCTGTTAGTTCCTTGCTTGCATGAAAATCCTGCTCATTTCATGGAAGACAATGTGTTTAAAAAAGGCTGCAAATGGCGAAACAATGCAAGAGTTTAAGCTGAAACCTGCAGGAAGAATGGAAGTCCTGTAATGACACATCCCAAGCATGTTCCACCTGCTGATATCTGCAGAGATTGGTGCTAATTGAATGTTTTTCAATGCTGATAAAGTTTATAGATGGAAGAGAACTGTTGTCGATACTAACTAACCAGCAGAAGTGGTCGTCGTCCGAACTTACCGATGAAGAGTACTCCGAGAATAGCCATTAAGATCTGCCAAACATTTACCTGGGTTGTATAATGCACCAGTGCAATGTTTTAATCTGATATCAAATGGTAATGTCATTTGCTAACCTGAAGAACAGCTATCGCAATGGATCCGACCTTGCTAGGAAAACCTGCGAAAGACAGAACACCTTTGCTTATGGTTTTGATCTATGTTTTCACGGTTAAATTAAACGTAGTTTTGAAAATGTACCGGCTGACTTGAAAATAAAGCTTGTATAGTATGAAAAACCACCTAGGCCTCCAAACTGTTGGAACACCATGAGTTCTACTCTGACCTGAAATAAGCAAGCATAAAACAACTTTTGACAATGAATGCAAATGTATATCTAATTATCTCTCACAATCAATGGACTGATATATCTCTTCTGGAAGAGATTCCGAAGCCCTCCATCCGTGATCTGCTGCATGTATTCTGTGTATAACTGTTTCATAACAAAAGTCCCGTTTCATTCCGATAGAAAATTTCGTGTTAATTTGAGAAAATATGAGATTTACTCTGATATCAGTAGCTTCTTGATAGATATCGGTCTTTTCTCCCCGAAGGCGTCGCCGGGTGGCTTCAAACTCTTTTGTTTCATTAGTCTTGGCCTGCAGATGGTTACCATTACCAATTGGACACATTAACAATTGCCTATATATACATTAAACCTTACCGACCAGCCATCTTGGAGACTCTGGAATTAAGAAACCTCCCATCAATTGCAGCACACACGGTACGATTCCTGAAAACAAAACTAATTGCAGCTTTCGGAATTCCAATCTCAGTACGAAAAGTTTAAAATATATCGAAAGAAGTGACCTATAAGGGCTGAGGTGCGCCAATTGATCAGAGAACCGATTATGAACATGACTGCCTTGCCACAGCATAGCATTACCTGTAAATACTAACATATATCAGCTAAAGAAAACCAGCTCCCAGAAATCAGATATAGACTGAAAGAAGTATACATACGGTGAAAAGCGAAGCGAATGCTCCCCAAACATTCTTAGGAGTGATTTCAGATAAATAAAGAGGAATCTGTATAAGAAAAGATTTAGATGACAGAATTTCACAATACCAATGAATCATGTTAGAAATTATGGCGAGCTACGAGTGTTACCACGTAGCAAAGAACCTCAGATCCACATCCAACTAGAAATCTTCCCAAGTCGAGCCACCAAGCATCCTTAGAGAATACTATTGCAAGCCACCCTGTGATGCAGAAAACTTCTGAAATCCCAATTGCTTGTATAGAAATCTAAAGCATCCAAGAATCGGGAAACCTGGATACCAGGCATCTTCGATAAATATTAAGGGTTAATAGAAAGACTTACGCCTCTTCGGCTGAGAAGACCCGCGATCTTGCCACTGCATGCTGCTCCAAGCATCCCTCCCCTTGTTAATATGGAACTAAAAACTGCATACTGCATCAGATAGTAAAGCTAATTACTTTGGTTGTGATTCAACTTCTTTTCATCTTCTTTTGACCACTGGTTTTGACAGCATTTATTTTACCTCAGCTAGAGAAAGGCCGAGGTCGTCCGTAATGCCGCTTTTAGCCAGCGACAAGTACCCCACCTGAAAATGAATCCCAAACCACTCAAATACACGAATTCAACACATTAATTCCTGACCAGAACATATAGCTAAACCAACAAAATATTTCAAGTTGGTGAAAAGAACACATACAAAAGGTACATTTTCACCATACTTGCTGCATTTCCAAATGCATATGCACCAGATATTGCCACTAAGGTGCTAAAGATAACAGTACCGGTGACAGAAGATGAACCATTGTGATTATAGCCGCCGGTACTATCTCCGTATAGAATACTGGTCGCTGCCTCATCGATAACTGGCTTTCCTGTGACCAGCCCTTCCAACATTTCATTTTTCACCATGTTTTGCTTTTCTTGGTCACTGTGGAAATAGAGAGAAATTACCCATGTGACTCAGTAATAACAACTGTTATATAAATTTGACTCTTAACATAAAATATTATGTCCGTCACTGTTTACTATACATGAACAATATAGAGGCAATAGAATAACATGCAATTGAATTGTAAAAACAAAACAAAAGCGTGTTGTACAAAAAACAGAGAAATTATACCAATTAACACGAGAATTCGGGTTGAGTCGGTGTTGCTTACAGATCTGGGCTACACAGGTAAATTTTGAAGTTTCTGATGAATTTTTGCTGCTCTGTTTTCTTCCCTAAAGTTTCAACTTCATCTTTCAAGAGTCTATGCCGGTCAAGAGAGTTCTACAGTGCTGCAGTCTTAATATATGGTTAAATAAATGAACTACAGGTTTTATTATTATTTTTTTAATAAAACTGGTAAAAATTACCGAAAACATTATTATTTCTACCTAAAACATTAATGTTATTAACATTTCCGATAAAATGCTCAATAATAACAAAATCAATAGAAAAAATAACAAAACCGGTAGGATTTACTAAACCCGGTAAAACGCCCAATAATAAAAAAATCGATTGAAATAATAATATTTTTAATAAATTTTATTAATTTTGTTAAAAAAATAATAACAAAACTAATAAAATATTTTTTTAACCGTATATTAAAATTATCGTACGAAATCATTTCCCATGCCGGCCATCAAATATCTCTCTCTACTATTACATAGAAAGCGAAGGTTGACGTGACATTATTTAGTTGCATGTCACCCTTATAAATGATTTAAAATTATAAAAATATTTTTAAAAAAGAATGTATATTTTAAATATACATCAAAATTTTACAATGTACTGAAAAATTTGTGAAAAATACACGAAGTACAACTAAATTATCATGTCAATAGGGTTTAAATTTTAATATTTACATTAAAAACAATTATTTAATAAATTTAAAATATTTTTAATTAGTATGTAATAATTATAAGATTGCATCATCTTGAATTATTATTTATCATTTGACAATGAATGTTCAAATACTCTTACTGATGATGAGCTCGAATTTGAAATATCTAGAGATAACAACCATTCTTTTAACTACTCAAGTCGCTTAATTCATGCAAAATATTTTAAATAATAATAAATTTTAAATTAATAAAAAAATTAGAAACGGTTAGAAAAACACCCAAAAAAAATAGGAAGTAAATTTAAAATAATCTATAAAAATAAATATGTAAAATATCTGAAATCATGTTACGCACTCCTACTAAAAGTAGAAAATATAGGAAATGTTGTATATATAATGTTATATTTAAAATAGCAAGTAAATTAATTTTTATTTCAAAACCTATATAAAATAAATAATCTATAAAAATAAATATATAAGATAAATTTAAAATACCTGAAATCACGTCAGGCACTCCTACTAAAATAGAAAATATAGGAAATATTATATATATAATGTTATATTGTAATATATAATAAATTTTAATACTAATATTTTTGAATTTATACAGTCTCAGTAGAAATAGGTGACATGTAATTTATAAAATAATATTTATTTGGATATAAAAACTTAAGTTCATAGTAAAAAAAAAAAAAACAGAACCAAAAATTATTGTAGTAACTCTTCTCTCTCACCTTACTATTTTCAAGCAATGGCAGAAAACGCTAATAATCAAGTTAACGAGCAAAATTCTTCTGCTGCCCTGAATCATGGCATTGCCGCCGTCGAAGGCCGTGAAATCTTCTCAACGGTGGAGGGTGTTAACAATCAAAACGTTACACCAACTGCTGCTCGGAATGCTGACATCATCGCTCCTGAAGGCGATGGAATGGCCATCATCGACGAAGACTGTCCGATACCTGTCGGGTTTCGATTTGTCCCTACTGATGCGGAGTTGATTGAGAATTACTTGTTGAATAAGATTAACTATAGACCCTTGCCTCCTAATAAAAACATCCATGAGGTTGATCTCTATGGCAGTACTCCATCCAAACTTACTGGTAAGTAAATTAAATCATAATCTGAATATTAGTATTATATTTATGTTATTCTCGTATTTTTTCTTATTTAATTTGAATCTTCGTATGTTATTTTTTTATGTTCTTTTATGGTATTACTTTTTCATAAAGAATTCAATCATACGTCGATGATTAGTATGTCATTAATACTATTTTCTCGTGTTCTTATTAAACTTAATCGATGAAAAAAAAATTTCATAATTGTGACAGAACAATACGAACAAAGTGACGGGGGAGAGGAGTGGTACTTTTTAACACCGAGGAATAAAAAATACCCCAACGGAAAGAGGCCAGACCGTACGGCGGGGAACTGTGACGGCTACTGGAAGCCGACTGCAGACGAGAAACCCGTTGTCGGTTCGGGTCATAAGGAGACCATCGGCTACAAAAGGAACCTTGATTATTACGAAGGCCAGCATTCCGACGGCCAAAAAAGCATATGGAAAATGTGTGAATATAGAGTAGAAAATAACAGCGTTGAATCCGGAAAAAGGGTAAAATTTATCTTCTGTAATTTCAAATGAGTAAAAGATTTAATTATAATTTGTTGTAAAAAACTAATATTTGACTTTGTATTGTAGCTTGATAAGTGGGTACTGTGCAAGATTTATGTGACAAGAAAGAAGGCTGCAAAGAATAATGTACATGAAAATGGAGATCATACTTCAGGTGCTTGTTCTACCCCGCGAGCTGTTAATGGAGTATCTTCGATGGCGGATTCTTCCTCGCAACCTGTTAACGGAGCACCTTCGATGGCGCCGAACAACAATCTGGTGGACCCGAATGTTTCTTCTTATCAGCATGACTATAATGGAACGCCTTTGTTGGCAACAACAAATGGTAATAAAAGTGCCAAGATAGCTCCACTATCATCTCCGGGCCTTAGGCCAACGTATGCCTCTCATGATCCGTATTCGACTGCTAGTTTTTCCCAGCTGCTTACTAATATAGCTTCTTCAATGGCGGGAAACGGTAATGCAATGATTGCATCTCAGAATTTCTCAATGGCAGCTGTGTCTGCAAGTCGGATTCCAAACGCTTATTCTCCGCAAGTTGTTAATGGAGTGTCTCTAACGGAGGGTTGTTATCCACAAGAAATCAATGGAGCACCATCAATGGCAGAAAACAACAAAACAATGTATGCATTTGCGCCTACACATTCAATTCTGAATGCTTCTTCTTCACAAGTTGTTAATGGAGAGTTTACGATGGCGGGTTGTTATCGACAAGACATCAACGGAGCACCAATGATGGCAGGAAACAAAAATACAATGTATACATTTGCTCCTGCACATTTGATTCCGAATGCTTCTACGATGGAGGGTTCTTATCCGATGATGGATTTTTCATTGCAGAAGCCGAGTGCATCTACACAAGTTCAGATTGATACTGCATATCAAAATCAGTGTTTGAATGCTTCTTCTCAGCAATACATTAATGGAGTGTCAACTCCAATGACAGCGGGAAATGGTAATAATGTGCATGAGTCTGAGATTTCAAGTCCCCAATGCTACCAGAACCAATATGCCTATGCTTTGTCTTTTCAACAAGATTTAAATGGAGCCTCTTCAACAGGGGATTCGTTAATGGATCCGATGAAAGTCTTTAACGAAGTGCCTTCCTTGACCGACAATGATCAATTTTCGAACTCTTATTCTACGTATCCACGGCACGACATTGACGGAGTATCATCTTTAACGGCTGCAGGAAATGGTAATAATGTGCATGTGTGGCCTGTTGAGACTTCAACTCCACAATCATACCAAAATCAGTATTCCAATACTTGGAATTTTCAACAAGATTTTAATAGAGCATCTTCAACGGGAGATCCGTTAGAAAATCAAATGAATGTCATTAACAAAGTGCTTTTCATGACCGACAACAATCAATTCTCGAATGCTTATTCTACGTATCTACACAACACAAACGGAGGATCATCTTCAATGGCAGCAGGAAACTATGACAACACTACACATACATCATCGCCTGCCGATGACATCAAATAGTTATTCGTGGACAATACTAAAAAGTAAATGTGAATGCTTGACTTCTTGAACGAAGGATTTGAATGTTCGATTGACAGAAAATCAACCGAAAATGGTGTCTGGTCATGTTGAAGAAGAGCAACTGTGGAGACTCCAGAAGTGTATGGTGAACAGTGATGGATATAAAATTATTTTTGAAGATCTACATACATATATTAATAATACAAAATTTTTGTATAGAATGAGTACCAATAAAATTTTAAGTAAAATAAATAATTAAATAAATAAAATTCAGATTTCAGAATAAATATATATCTATCCTAAAGAATATATGCCGCTGTAGATGGTGGGAACAACCATGGGCAGAAGGGGCAAGACAAGTCTTGTCCCCCATCAATTTTTTTAAAAGTATTAATTAATATCAAAAATATATATATATATATATATTTAAAAATAAATAAATAAAAATTTACTCGACACTTCAATTGAAAAAATTGTATTTATGAAAAATAAAAAATAATTTAAACTGCTTTAATAAATTTATGATTCCGTTCTTAGTAACAACGACATCACCGTCGGTAAGCTAGTGGTATTCTTCAGTAACACTATTAATCCTATCAAAAAGAAGAAAAAGAGGAGAGAATATATATAATCATTCTGTGTTCGCTGAGGTACCTAGAAGACCGGTTCCAATGGTACTATACTAGTAATTATTATCTAAGCCGTGCATGTGAGATTGAAGTAGTGATTTATAAAATAATAGAAACAAGGGTGAAATACATAAATAGTTCCTCGGTTATAGGATATTGTTTCGTTGAGTCCTCTGACTATTAGAAGTTACAAAATGATCATTTGACTATTCTTATGTTTCAAACTTTTCCTTTTCGTTAAAGAATTAACGGTCGTCTGAGCTGGATGTTAACCTATTGACTGAGATATGATAAAATCATATTATAATGATATCTACAAACACCGTCGTTGCTTTCAAGCATAGTTTGACGACATAATCTTACAAGCATTGATTCGATGGAATAATGTAAACGGATAATCGATCTACAAAATATATCTCAAACGATTCTGAGATCAGATTTTATCGTATCTCAGTCAACAGGTTAACGTCCAGCTCAAACATCCGTCAATTTTTAAACAGAAAAAGACGAGTTTGAAACATATGAATAATCAAGTGACCATTTTGTAACTTTTAATAATATGATAGTTAATAAACCAACGATCTATTGGAATACCGTTTGTTTGCTTCACCCTAGAAACAAAAAGAAAACCCCACAATTTGTCAAAACTAGATATAATGATCTCAGCTACATGATAAAAGAAAATTAACAAGCCTTGTGTAACTTCCATTCGTTTTCCTTTTTCCTTATACATCACATGGCCAGCTGACCATTTCTTTTGTTGTATGCTTAGAATTGGGGGAGCTTGTAATACTGTAGACATAAGGGGACAATGACTACTCAACAAAGGAGGATATCAGTCAGATATGTTGTTCCTATTAAGAATGGCCAGGCCTACACAACAATACATACCGGAAAAGATCGAGGTGAATGGATTGGAGATTCGAACCAAAGATGGCTACCAAAACGTATTTCTCCATTACTTCTGGAGGGCCTAGTTCGGGCATAGTTTCGTCTATGACATCGAATAATCTGCCTTGTTCCACAGATAACCAAGCCCAATCAGTCAAAACCAAAGTGTGATGATCATTTATGGAAATGACTACTTTCTTACTGCTTAAAAGCTCAAGTAGGACAACCTTGAAACTGTAAACATCGGTTCTTTCTGTTAGTCTATCGTACAGAGCGTGCTCCAGAGCTACATGCCCCAGAGTATCGGTTACCCTTGTGCTCATATGAGAGAAGTCATTTGGAGTGAACTTAGCAAGGCCAAAATCAGCCAGTTTTGGTTCGAATGTGTCATATAAAGGTATGTTACTAGCCTTAACATCTCTATGTATGACAGCAGGCTGTGCGCCATAACGAAGGTACGCTAGTCTGCGTGCCACTCCTGTCGATTTTCTGATGAATATGCCAACTATGCTTCGTCACTTCTGATCCAAAAAAGATGGTAGTGTAAGCTTCTATTTCACATCAAATTGCATACGATTAGTCTCTGGTGACCTTCCATAGGAACCGTGGTAGTGTAATAGCCTCTGAAGGGAACCAGATTGACATGATTAATACTAGCAATTACCTCCACTTCATGTGCAAACGTTGCATACCATGCAGCAGAACAATTTTTGAATCTTTTCACCGCGACTTTGGCGTCGTCTATTAATGTACCTTTATAAACATTTCCATACGTTGAAAGTCAATGTAACTTGAAAATCTATAAGTGTCATTTAGTGTGCATATATATATATTGAGAATATTATAGACTAATATATAAATAATAGTTGTCTAAAAATATCTATAAAATAATCTAAATATTTGTAATATTTAATATTATGGCTAGAATTATTTGTAAAAAAATCTAGATATTTGTAAAATTAATGGCTAAGATGTTGATATATGTCAACAATCTAATGATCACTAAAATGAAATGGGTTTGCTTTCATTTAGCGCTTTGTTTAACGTCATTAGCTCGACGACCTATTTCAGACTACAAGTTCTTCGAGAAAAACTTCCTCTATTTCATACGCTTTTTCCAACTAGGAACTTTCTTATGAGAAATTCTACGATCGTATAATTCTTTTAATTTTTTTTCTTGTAGATTTTGGCATTCTCATAAGCTTTTCTTCGAATTATTTTTATCTTGTCGAAAAAATCATTGGCAATGCATCTCTTTTTCCCAAAAAAAGTGTTCTTCAAGTGTTTTGGCAACTATTTTAAAATCGATTTGAGGGGCCTGCAAAACATAAGGTAACATCTTAGGATTTGAGGGAATAAATCATGAATCACAATTAACCGAATATATTTTTCTCAAACTCACTAATTTCATTGTCAAATTCCTTCAATTCCATGCATAGATTATCAATAAAATTAGATTCTATAAATTCTTCAACAACAGACTCAATAACATCTATAAAGTTTAAACTGACAACATTATCAGGACAACACATTACTTTGTATACATCAAATTTTACGATCTCACCTTCAAACTCCATTGTAAAAATTCCACTTCTTACATCGATTTTTGTAATTGTTGTGCGAAGGAAAGGAGGGCCTAAAAGTATCTCTGAACAAGTATTCGCTCGGTCGTTTTCTATGTCAATGACATAGAAATCTGCTAGAAATATAAGCTCATTTACCTTAACTAAGACATCTTCCAGTAGTCATTTGGAATAAATAATTGATTGATACACCAATTGTATTGTCACTCTTGTATCTTTCAAGTGCTCATTAGAAAGTAAGTTGTACAAAAATAAAAGTATTATATTTATATAAGCTCCTAAATCACACATTGCACGTTTTATTCCAACCTTACCAATTTTACAAGGTATAACAAACATAAAAATGGCTGAAACATGCTATCTCAAATTCACGTTTTCATTTTCGGTAAGTATTCTTTTTTTCATACAAAGGTCCTTAAGAAATATAGCATACCTTGGTATTTTTCGGATTACGTCAAGGAGAGGTATGTTGATTTGAACCTTCTGGAATACTTCCAAAATTTCCTTCTCTTTGGCTTGTCTGTCTCCTTTCACTAACCTTGAAGAAAAAAAAGGCAGAGTGGCATAGGGAGATGGTGTCGGATCGTATTATGGTGCTTTTTCTTCTGGGGATTTGTGTCAATCCCTTTTTTTATGGGGGTTTATGTCAATAGTTTTTTCTTCTTTTTGGGGTTTTAATTCTTTTTTTAGGGAATTTGTGCCAACAATTTTTGGGATTGGTTGTGCCATAATATACCACTTTGGAGGGTGATGAAGCTTACATTCTCTCTCATATTTAACTCCATTTGAGAAGGTAACTTCCTCATAATTCTAATATTCCCACGATTTGAGCTAGTTGGCTCATTTGCTTGTCTGGTTCTTGAAAATGGGCCTCAGTACAATTTTGGAACTTTTCTTGGGACAAGACCAAACGCTCAACAATGGATTCCAAAGAGGATTTTTGTTGTTGAAATGTTTATGGGGGTCTTCGCTGATAGGTTTGATTTGGACTTGGGTTTTGTCCATAGCTCAAATTTGGATGGTCTCTCCATCCCGAATTATAAATGTTTGAATATGGGTTGAAGGGCCTCTAGGGAGGTCCTAGGAAATTCCCCACAACATTCACTTATGCGCCATCGTCCTCTTGTAGCATTGGACAACTGTTCATCGGATGATCTGGCATTATGCATATTCCACATACTCTTGCTACTCTAATTTTTCCCGAGACAAGAGAATTAACTACATCTATTAACTTATCAATTTTGTTTTGAAGGGAAATAGTACTTATCTCGTGAACCCGTCGGTTGGGTTCACTTGAAGAGCCAAACTACTGAGAGTTGGCAGCCATTGTTGAAATTAATTTTCTTGCTGTAGTTGGGGTTTTGTTGACGAGATCTCCTCTATTAGCAACATCTATAGTCTTCATTTCCATAGGAAGTAGCCCTTCGTAAAAATACTAGAGAAGTGTTTGCTCGGATAATCCGTGTTGCGGACAGCTTGAGCAAAGCTTTTTAAATCGCTCCCATTAATCGTAAAGCGATTATCCGTCTTTTTGTCTTATTCCCATAAAACTTCTTCTCAATTCACTTGCCTTTGTTGTTGGAAAAATCTATCAAGAAAAGTTTGAGTCAAGTCAGCCCATGTATTGATAGAATTGGTAGGTAAATAAAACAATCATTCTTTAGCTAAACCAGATAAAGAAAAAGGAAAAAATCATAATTTAATTTGGTCTTCAGATACTTCCTGAGGTTTCATGTTGTTGAACGACAGGTGTCACGGGTAACCGGCGGACTGTTTGTTGTACCATTGGTTCTGGCGTGTAATTTGCGCCTGATGTAGCTTCGATTTCTGGGTCAAAGTCTACTAATTATCCTAAATTTCCCTTAGTCATAAATCAAAAAAAAACTTTATTAGTAATTTTAGTCGAAGTTCCCACAACGGCGCCAATTTGACATGACAGTTCACGGTAACCGGCGGACTGTTTGTTGTACCATTGGTTCTGGCGTGTAATTTGCGCCTGATGTAGCTTCGATTTCTGGGTCAAAGTCTACTAATTATCCTAAATTTCCCTTAGTCATAAATCAAAAAAAAACTTTATTAGTAATTTTAGTCGAAGTTCCCACAACGGCGCCAATTTGACATGCGTTGTTCTACTATTAAATAAAATTTATTATTCTCAGAATAAATAAGTAAGGAAATAAAGTAGTAAAGAGAAGTAAGGGTCGGTCTACAAGAACTTTGAAGTTGCTAATCTAGAGGGCTTTTTGATTCTGATTAAATTGAAAATAAAATTGGGGGGTTTGTTTTGAAAAATTGTAAAAATAAATTAAGAAGGAAATTAAGAAAATAAACTATGATGAAAATTCAATTATAGTAAAAACAACCTCAGGTTTTGCTTTGCCTCAATTCCAACCGATCATTGAATAAGATTTTCACTTCAGATTAATGTCGGTTATAGTTTATAGGGTCTAACCCCTATAACTTGTTTTTCTATCTTGTAAACCGACAATCCAAAATTTATCTTTAAATTCTAGTCCTTATGTGGACTAACTACAATTATCATCGTCAGTGCCAACTCAATTTTAAGTTTTGGAAAAACCCGACTCGGACTATGTTGTCTCAATAAGAATCGAGCCCAATCTCAATTTCCCTTAGTGGACCACCGCTAAGTGTGTTCAAAAGAAGTCAAACTTGCTACTAGCCGATTCTTTCTCCCAACTTTATATCATAACAACATCCAAACCAACAAACTCTTTTTGATTTAAAAGCGATTTTATTTTTAAAGAAAAGGTCGATTGTCAAACCTAGTTTCTTGAAAATTGAGAATATAACCCAAAGGTATTAGGTGCTTTTCAATTCTCACAATCGAAATTGAGTCATCGCTTCAACCATTGGCTTATTGAGAAAATTAGCTAAGTATGACAATCATACTCAACAATTTAAAAATAAAAAATAAAAGAAAGCTTGGAAAATAAAGAAAAAGAAAACTTTTATAAAACCCTAAAACAAAGAACAAAAATAAATTTGAATATGTTTTCAAGCTTACCTTGAGAGGTTCTTTATAGCTTTCTAAAACCCTAAAAATAATAAAAGATAATTCCTAGAAAATATTCAAATTAAATCCTTAATAAGAGATAATTCCTAATTCGAATTTCAAAAATGTGGCTGATTCATTCGTCCTTCTAGAAGTGTTGACTGGATTTTCTGAAAGCTACTGACTGGATGCCACATCAAACGCGTTATGCCCATAGTCATGCCCACTAATCTGAATGATATATGGTCGGCTCTGTCGCCTATGTATTATTGTGCACTAAGAATTTATAGAATAAAAGGCTAACTAACGTCAAAGAGTTTTTGTAGTGTCATCGATGGCAGGAACCAACAATACAATGTATGCATTTGTTCCTGCACATTTGATTCCATATGCTTCTTCTTCGTAATTTGTTAATTAAGAGTCTCCAATGGCGGGTTGTTATCGACAAGACATCAACGGAGTACCATTGATGGTAGGAAACAACAATACAATGTATGCATTTACGCCTGCAAATTCAATTCCGAGTGCTTCTCTGATGGAGGGTTCTTATCGGATGATGGATTTTTCATTGTAGAAGTTGAGTGTGCACAAGTTGTTCATATTGATACTACATATCAAAATTAGTGTTTGAATGCTTCTTCTAAGCAATACTTTAATGGAGCATCACTCCAATGACAGCAAGAAATGGTAATAATGTGCATGAGTGGCCCGTTGAGATTTCAACTCCGCAATGCTACCAGAATTGGTATGCCTATGCTTGGTCTCTTTAACAAGACTTTAAGGCGTGCTGAGATTTCAACTCCACAATCATACCAAAATCAGTATTCCAATACTTAGTGTTTTCAACAAGATTTTAATGGAACAACTTCAATGGGGAATTTATTCCAAAATCAAATGAATCTCATTAACAAAGTGCCTTTCATGACCGCAACAATCAATTCTCGAAAGCTCATTCTATGTATCTACGACAAGACACCAACGGATGACCATCTTCAATGGCAGTAGGAAATTATGACAACACTACACATACATCACCTGTCGATGACATCAAACAGTTTCCATTATTTTAACCGTTGTTTTGATTGTAATTTTATTGCCTGATCCAAAAAGATATTGGGTCATAAGTCTAACATAATCTGAAAAAAAATCTAAGTAGATCAACATTTCTTTTTAACACTAAGGTCATTTGATGGGTTCGTTAATGAATTTTTAAGGTTATTAGAAGTCAATGGAATTGTCTTGTAATTTTTGTTGAACTATGGGGTGTACATTATTAGAAATAGACATAACATTTCATGTCAAGAGATGTGAACTTTTAATAAGTATGTTAGAAATTAAAATTTCAAGAGATACAAAATTAGATAAAGAAAATATATTTAAATTATATGAAGATTTAAAATTTTTAAGAGTATGATTACTCCATCACTCTCACTCGATCTATCTATGTACATGGTATTTTTAATGTATGTGTCATAACGTCTCCCCGGGGAAGTCCGTTAGACTTTAAAATATGTGTTCGGGGGGAAGGCGATGAAATATGATTTTGAAAAAAAATTGATTTTTGAGTCGTCACCAACCATTAAGTTAGGTATGTTGGAAACCTTAAATGATAAAAAATGGTCTGCATTTTACCAAAGATTCATTTTTAAGAGTTCAGGAGTCGGTTACGTGTGGGGAAGGGTTAGCACCCCCACAACTCCCAAATTTTGGTACCTAAACGATTATATGTTGTTTAAATATTGGGAATTAAGAACTTGAAAATATATTTGTATTACGATCTTATTATTCATTCGAATTTATTTAAAAAATGTGAACAATCTTCGGGAAAGCACTTCCTTTGCAGTTAGGAGACTTTCCTATAGATTTCCCTCACAAAAGATATTATTTCACAAATTTCGTCAAGATAAAACAAAATAAAAGTGCAAAAACAGTGAAAAATACTCGAAATAACTAAATGCAGAACAATTAAAATATCAAATAT